TCAGGAAATGGATGCGGCTGCAAACTTGCTTGTCCAGTAAAGGAAAGAAGAAGAAGGGTTGCTTTTAGAGAACTCTGTTCCCTGATCCCATACCATACGCAGACATCAGACTCCTGGAAGAGGTTGGAAACCTGCAATCTGAGATGGGGTGGAAAGTTGAACCGTGTCTTTGGACGTAGCCTGAATTTAAATCAGCTTAAAGCAATTGTTATGTGGAGACCTAAGGCACAATTTCCCTGTTTTTAAGACCCAGCTACACATGTATCTGCTAGAATGGTTGTAGATCCCATCCTAGAGTCCATGGATGTATGCGATGACCACTGGCATTCTCAGCAGCAATTTTCTACGATTTCCTCAGTGGGATGGATACCAACCCTTTCACACCTGTAAGACTGTTCACCTGCGTTAATTCCACTGTAGCTGAATCCCTTACAAGATCTGAAAATAGACCTGAGGCTCTGGTCTTGTCTTGTGCACAACAAATGCAACAAGAAGAAACCACGTGAACCCAGAAGAGATGAAACAGCCGTGTTTGTAGGCTATATATGAGAGCAGGCCCTGTTACATGTGACTTGCTCTAAACACAGCATGGCAAGATGGCCCAGAGTCTTCTAAAGAGAAATGCCCATTCCCATGCCTGCCATTGGCCCCAGAAAAGTCTGCAAGCCTCATTTCCACATGGCAGGAGAAATGCTTTGCCTGGCTCCACTGTGTCTGCAAGCAATGGGGAAGGGTTTGCATGGAGACCATCACATATGTTTTGAAATCAAGTAGTTCCATGAAGTTTTGAGAGGCTCTTTGGTTGCATGGAGTCTGGTATTGCACCAATACCATGAGAGACTGCTGGTCCTGCCTTTCCTCTCCCTTTCCCTCCACTGCCTTTGTGAGATGCTGCAGATGGGGTGGGTGACCACAGAGAGACCCCTGTTTCCCACTGTATGGTTTGTGGGATATGAGGAGTCAGGGGGCAGAGAGAGGGACCCCAGCCATCACTGATAGCGTTTAGTGTTGCTCTTGAAATCTGCAGGAAGACCTTGAGGTGTGTTGAGCTATGCTCATGTGCAGGTCTCCACCAGCTATATAAACAGATCTTTGCAGGGTCAGGACCTGCCTTTTTGGCTGAGAGGTGCCTTTCAGGAGATGAAGGAAAGTTCATACCCTCCAGCTGTAACTCCTGGTTCCTTTCCCTCTTGGTGATGCTGATCCTCAGATTATGAATTCATTTTGCATGCACAGTTTTACCTCAAAAAGGGAAGAGCTGGAAATATTCCCTCTGACCTCTAGAAAATGAGTTCTATGACATTAGGAAAGCAGGATCTCAAATCCAGAAATACTTCCCTTCCCCTCTGAGTTGGCCTTCATTCAGGAAATTGCCATCTTCACTGCATCGTGCATGCATCCATTTTCTTTCAGCGAAACACAAAAGCATGAATCCCACTAAAGGCGTCTGTCCTCAACACAGTTCTTCCACTGACTAGGAGCAGGAGCTCGTTTCTTCCTCTCTCCCTAACCACAATTGATTAAGGCTATTAAAGAGTTTACCACTTCCTAGTATCATCCAAGAATGTTTTCCATATGTTGCATTATACTCCGGAGTGGGCAGAGCTCCCTTGTGCCAGCGAAGCAGGGTGAACTCCAATTACACTGTATTTGGAGTTTTATTGGAAGAGAGGTTGCAGGTGGCCCTTTATAGAAAGATGCATTTCATCCTCAGTTTTCAGATACCTTATAGTATCCTTTCCACTGGGAAATTAAGCAGACACTCTGCATATCTGCAGCTGCTTCTAGTGTTAAATTAAACTGCTGCTATTACAGCGAGCTGTGGCTGGAGCCGAGTTGTGTTGTTCCTTAATTGCTTATGGCTGTGGATTCAAGCCAAGTAGAAGCCTTGTAGTGGCAAACGCTGGAGATATGGCCTGGAAAACAGATGTTTGGGACAAAGCCAAGGTGATTTCAGGAAAGACAGTGAGAGAGAAGCAGGAAACCAGTTATCTGTCTGATTTATTGGACAGGGTGAAGAAATTCATCCCAGGGTGGAGTGCTCACACAAGGCTGGTGCAAGAGAAAACTCTGATTTTAGCTAGTTTTTAGCCAGCCTTTGCAAGGCTTATATGAGCAGCTGTTGGTTTGCTAGTGCTAACACAAGGTATGCCAAACCTACGTGCTTTGCAGCTGGGTAGAAAATTCTCGCCTGTTTGCTGGTGGCTGCAGAACATCTCACGCAATAGACTGCTTTAAGTGAAGTCCCAGCATAAGCTTTTAGATCTGATACAATGCAGGGGATTTTTTGAAATGGTTTGGGGGATCTGATCAAAAATAGATGTCTACAGTGGAGGTGCGCCATGTGGACAGATCATCCCCAGGCATTCCCCTTTGCTCTCAAAGGAGAGAAACAAGTTCATCACACGCTAATAGAAGGGTCTAAAATGGGTCCAACTCATGATCTGAGGGTGCCAGTTTCTCTCTGTTCCTTCTCTCAGGAGCCCAGGTAATTGCCTCACATGGAAACACCGATGCTGTAGACATCTAGAATTACGTGAGATCTGTCCCACCCGTGTTTTCACAGAATCACAGGCTGGTTGAAGTTGGAAGGGACCTCTAGAGGTCACAAGGACAGAGACTCCAAAACCTGCCTGGGAAACCTGCTTGATTGCACAGAGCCAAAATGGAGCATGGCACTGAGGGCGGGGAGGGCAGGGGATGTCCACCTTAGTTTTTCTCAGTCTTGTATACCACTGTTTATGCAGCAGATCCACAGATCTGAACAGGTGTCTTTTAGCACATCAAACCACTGATTTTTGGAGCAGTGATTTAGCAGAACAAGATGCTTTCACAATTTTAACTATGTTGTAACTACATTGATTTCATTAAAATGTGATGAATGCCAGGCTCAAACTTTTAGCCCTGATTTTGTTTCTTTACAACTTGAGCCAATAGTGTTACAACATTTTAGTGCTGAGGAATCAAAAAACCTTTGGCATCCTTTGGCAACACTCATGTTCTTAGATACCCGATATCTTGACTAGTAATTCTGGCTAGCACCCTGAGTTTTTCAAGGTGAGTTTTGAAAGTCTGGGTACGGGAGTCCTTACAGCCCTCTCTGTACTTCTTCCTCCTCCCGTCCATAGAACAAGGGCATGGGAACTGGGGATTTGGAAGAGGATGCATAATATTGTCTTGCCCAGCGGTCACCAGAAGTATTAGTGCAGTATGGTAGGGGCAGAGGGACTACATCTCCTTTCACACAGCAGTGGCTGATGCAGATGTTTTGACTGGGCCTTAGAGTTTGGGTCTTGTTAGCTTTCCATACTGATGCTACATTGCACAGACAGAACATGCAACTACTTGGATTTCCCTTCTGCCGTCAGAGACCCTTTGATTTGCTTCTCCTTTTGTCTTTAGACTAAGTAGGTTTCTTATTTTTTGAAACAAAGCAAATGTCTGTAACAAACATATATAATATACATATATTTCTTCCTGCTAAAGAGATTTTTCATACCTAGTTTGATCAGATTTCTCTGCTTCTGTCAGTCCAGGCAGATATTTTAGCCTTTTTGTGCCACAGACCACTCATAAAACATTTACTGTACTATTGTGCAGTGCCGCAAATCCCCCTCCTCACAGTTACCTGTGCTTGAATATCTAAAAGCAAGTGGCTTTCCAGAGCAAGTTCATTAGGCACTTGGCTATCATGTGTCTGAAACACCCTTCAGAGAGATGCTGCTTTCACCCAGAGCAGAACAGGATTGTCCTAATCTCCTGCACCTAGCCCCAGGTTGTGCAATCCTTTCCCACTAGCTTCTGCAAAATTGCAAAAATGCTGATGTTTTCCCAGTTGAGGGCAATGCCACAAGCGAGGTCCTTGGACAGTCTTCAGAGGAGGTCTGGTAGCTGCTGGTGGCCCATGATCTGTGCATTCCTAGGGATACTGTAGACATGGATCACAGGATTTTTTTCTCTCTTTCTATCCTATCCTGCCTTCCCCAGAAACCGGATGGTTTTCTTCTCTTTTAAGCACAGTATCCAAGAGGGTTTATGAGTCCTTGTTGTTTTCCTGAAAACTCAGCCCAGTTGTTAGCTAACGTACCCAGAGCTCAAATGGGAAGGAGAGTCTTTCCATGCTGTCCATTGTGTGGATTGGCCTTGTGTAAGGTAACAAGTTTAGGGGAACCTCCTGGGAGACCGAAATCTCTATCAGAGAATAACTGCAGTTTGCTGCATGGCCATCTGTTTGCGCAAGTGTCAGAAAGTGTCGCAGTATGAGCGCTCAGTACTTGTGAATATTCGGGACAGAATAGTGAATGTTTCAGTCCCAGCACTAACTGTAGCTGTTTCTCTTCGTTTTATAGAACAGGAAGAAGGAGAAGATCTCACCATATCCAGGACACCAGCAAAACAACAATCTGCTGCGAGCTGGCCACGCGCTAACAGTTGTTCTGGATTTTACAGTCGCCCTAGACTTTTGCACAGGGGGCTGATGGAAACTCATTGCTCCACACTGCTGGGTAAGAGGGAAGACACTCGAGCAAGGGGCTGCGTCTTGGTTTCTCAAGTTTTCTTGTCTCCTTGACGGTCTTGCCTCCTGTCTCCTTGAACAGAGAGTCCAAGTTTTCAAGTCAGCCCAGCCAGAGGAGCAGTTATCCTCATTCTTTCAGCTGAGAAAATCCTTTCCATGTTGTCCACAACTGTGATGAAAAGAGAAGCCCCTCTAGCCAGAGACTGAACTTGTCTATCAGGAAAATACCATTTACAGGTAAGAAAATGCCATTCCCAGCAATGAATCTGGATCTTCTGTGTGAAGCTGAAGAAGCTGCCCTTGGGAAAGAGCATTTTATGTATAAAAAGGAGAAGAGACTTGGGATGCATCCCACACCACAAGTCATTCAAATTTTTGCTGTTGTAGTTGAACAATATATTGTCAATATATTTGACAAGTAACAGCTGGTGATAGGACTCATGTCGTTTAACTTTGGTGGTCCAAGACATAAACATCTGCAGCTGAGCTCGAAGTGCCTCTTGCTCCCCATTGACTAGATGGGGAGCCAGGAATGACAAGCTCAGAAGTTGCCACAAAATCCGGGTAGTAAATCCCAATCCTTGGGCTCAGATGGACGATGTGGGCATCAGCTACAGCAGTTAATAATTTCTGGCTTCACTAAATCTTCTCTCTGGAAGCTCTGAAAGATTCTACAGAGAAGACCAACCCAAAGGTTTTCTTGTGTTTCCTGGCATCCCGCTTTTATCTGTTTCTGCTTTCAGCTGTTTAAAATTATACCGAGATTTTTTTTTTTTTTTGATCCACTCTCAACGCAGTGTGGTTCATATGAGCTGAATTTTCTCTTTATAGCTTCACTTATGAATACGGGTCAGCACTCAGGCAGTTGAATGCCCGAGATCATTTCCATGCTGTATATAAATAGGATGCAGTTATTTCACAGTTTCATGTTCAGCTTGCACGCTTCCAACAGCCTTGTATTCCCGAAACCCTTTCTATTCTCATAACATTCGAGTTCTTGAACCCGTGACTCGACATAAATTACAACAGAGGTTTTCCCAACCAAGAAAGTCCTGATTTGGCTGCTGTGTATTGTCATTCTCATTCCTGACGGCTGGCGTCGAGTCACTAGTACTCAAAGCTGCTGTTGCGGGTCTTCCAGCCCTGTGATGAGTTCAGCTACGCGGTCGAGCCGACAGCTGAGTTATGCTACCTTATGCACGTTAAGTGGTGCTTGGTCAGTCCATCATCTCGCTAGACAGTGGAGGAAGTCAGAGAGTCCCCAGTCGGATGGATAACTAACAGCCGGCGTACCCCTGTCTGACGGAGATAAGAGGCTGGTTAAAACCAAGGGAATTTTTAGACTTTTCCCAAATATCGCCTGTCTTTTGTTTGACACAGGACTTGTCATGTCTCCCTTTCTGCGTATTGGTTTATCCAACTACGACAGTGGCCCTTACCTGCCATCCCAGGGGGAGGTGATTAACCCTTACTGTGCTGTGATGGTTAAAGAAGCCGTGGAGTCAGGTAAGCGGGGAGGTGTTAAACATGCATCTGAGCTTTTTAAAGACACGTGCGCGTCTTACTGTGTCATTTCTGGTGTGTAGGAAGCACACTGGTAAATCTTTATAAGGGTTTGTGAAGTGCTTTTTGTGTCTCAGCACAGTGCAAGTTTGGGTTTGGCATGGGTTTGCCTGCAAGGCAATCTGATTTTAAGATGATGCCCAACAAATACGTGTCTTCAATTCGAGGTTATTATCAACTGAATTGCAGGTCCCAGCATGTGACGGAGCAGATGAGCTCAACTGTATTTCATTTCACTTTTCTATAAGCAGTTGTTGGTTTGTCAGTGGGACTCCAGACAGATGAAATCTGGGTGTCCTAGAAGTATCCTGAGAGGGCTGTCTTTGTTTATCTTATTTTTTTGAGGAGCTAACAGGAGCAGCAACTTTCATAATTTAAAAAAAAACAAATCTCTCAAACAGCTGCAGTCTTTGGAGAGAGAGTTAATTTCTCTGCGTAATTGCTGAACTATGTAAAATGTTTGAAAGTGAAATTTCCTGCTAAGCTGTTTTCTGTGTTTGGATATACGTATTGTTGCACACTTTTCCTGATTGAACAACAGTGATGAGTTCTCATTCAAAAAACATTTCTTATATGTCTTGTGCATGAAAATAGTCCCCATGAGAGGATGAAAGGTTCTTCAGTTCTGCTTTTCAAGAATCATGAAGATTAAGACCTTCAGTGTTAGAGAATTCTTCATATTGGCTGTTGTTTATCTTAAATTTTTGATAAATTCCCAACCTGGCTGCTGTGATTCCTTAAAAAATTAAATCAACTCAGAAATCCCTTTCTATACCTTGAGAAACCCCCATGACTCCAATCTCCAGAGGATGTTACAGTAGTTTGAACAAAAGAAATTTTAAAATGTTAAAATAATTCGGTATTTCACTGGGGGGGTGGGTATTGGTTTGTTTGTTTTAAGAGTCCGTATTTATCACACTGAACTTTAGCTTGGCTTAAATGATACTTTAAATGATTCTGGAAGATGTGGTGACTGGTAAATTCAAAAGGAAATACTGCATAACAAGATATCCCTAAGATCTCATTTTTTACTGAAAATATGTCCTGTTTCAGCTCTGTGTGGGGCCTGGCTGTTTGCTTTAATGAGGCTTTTGAAAGCCATAACTCAAATTGAAGTCTCTGTCAGTTCAGAAGTGAATAAAATCAATTTGGTCAGAACAGACCTATATTTATGGGTCTTACACAGAGCTGAAAGCATCTTCTGGCATCTACGAAACACAAATCTACTGACTAAGGGATATAATTTTTGTACTCCTGAGAGTAAATAATAATAATAATAATAATAATAATAATAATAATAATAATAATAATAATAATAATAATAATAATACCTCTATCAACAAGAAATTAAAAAGCGTGTTTGGGGGAACTTTTCTCTATTATTGAACATAGGAAAAACGGTGTCCTTCTGTCAGAAGATATCTGTTTGCTGGGGTGTAATTGTAACATCTAGCTGTTGCGCAGGGCATGGTGGGGCAGCCAGGCGAACTCCTCATCATGTCAGCGATAGCAGCGGAACCTCCTGAGATTGATTCATCTCAGAGCCCCTCTTAGGGTGGGTTGAACCAGCCTTTGGAGGTGTTAATCTGCTGCTGGTGGAGGGTGTCCAAATGTGTAGAAGGCTAACCTTACCGTAAGGTGACTAAGCCAAGATGAGGCCACAGTGGGATCCATCTGCCCTGTAATTCCAGTATTCTGCAAGAATATCGATATCTGAGCAAGTCAGTTACTCTTGCATTACAGCCCAGGGGAACAAGCAGGGATTTCTGTGGTGGGATTCATCTTGTCTTGAAGAAGACATCCATAATGGTCCTGATGAATCACGCCCTAGAAAAGCCCAGGGCTTTTCTGACTCCAAGGGTAGTCCACTCAGAGGTACGTGTCTGAAGTTCAGTGAGATGAGCCTGACTCTAAGTGCCAGAAATGCTCTCAACATGACCATCCCGAGGAGTTGTCATGCTCAAACAGGCTCAGAAAAGGCGAAAGGCAATGAAGGTCTCAGGACAAACATTATCTGAGTATATTTGAAATAGCTGCATCCCTGCTTTCTGATTTTTTTAATCATGGTTTGCTCTCCAGCTCCCTGGTTTCACAAAGCACTCGCTGCTCAATGGTAATGGGATTCAACAAAAATTTATATCGGTGCCCTAATACCAAATTTTTGCTGAAGTGGCAAATCCAAGGAGCAGGAGTGAATCAGCTGCAAAGCTGGTAAGAGATGGAAACAATCCTGACTCCCAGCCTTGTGCTCTGACACGTGGCCATTAAGATTTCTTCAGGGAAAATGATTGCTCTCTAACGGGGAGCGCAGAATGCAGGGCAGGACATGCCTAAACCCAAAGCTGAACCCAGGACAGACCCAGTCCCAAATTCCTGCAAGCTTGTGCTGGACCTGTTTGGGTAGATGACTCTGCTCAGACTTTTGCAATGTCCTATTATGGAGCAGATATATACCATGTGTAGTATTAGCAAAGCGTGAGGAGTTTGAGTCTTTTTTTGTTCTTTTCCGTGTTTGTTTTTGCAAACGGGGCAGTGATAGATGGCAAGTGTGTTTGGTTCCCAAAAAAAGGGAGTTTGAGTCTGACTTTGGGTTCATGCTAAAGGCTGTCCCTTGTTGACCAGCCATGATGAACAGGTCATAGGGACGGAGGTCTCCAGGGTTCTGGGAGTAATGCACATCACCTGTGGTCGCAGGGGTGTCGCAGCAAAGCCACCCTCAAAAATTTCAGAAGCTCGGGAAAGATCTTGGGCAGCCTTTCTGTTTTTTCCACTTGTTTATTTTGTAAAAGTGACCCTGGTATTTTATGATATAATCTTTAAAAAACAAAAAACCACACACCTCCACATAGTTAAAAGTTTTATAGCAAGTTATTAATGATGACAAAACATTTCAGAGATCATAGGCACCTCTGAGATATAAAAAAATCTGCCCTTTAAAATGGCTTCTGCCTTCACGAGCCTCCTGGCCCATGTCATTTTACCACCTGTCTTGGTGACATTTGCTTCGTGAAAGATCCTGCTCTGTTTTTGAACTCAGCAAGCCTCCAGGAAAAGTTCTCCCAGCTACAGTGGAAGCTGCTGCCTGGGAAAGACAGTTGCTGTTTTATTTTTCAGGAAGCCAGGGTTAGGTTAATCCCTGGCAGAATTCCACAGACGTCAGCGGGGATGTGCTGGGGGTGACTGTCTGATCCCATATATTGGCCAGTTCATTCACATTCCAGGGTTTGTTTATTTAAGCCATATGTTTTGGAGTGCAATGCAAACAAAAGCACTTGTTTTGCCAGTGCTGTGTTTCACGCCTGTGGAGATTCACTGATGTGGCAAAGAAATAACGGTCCTTTCTGAGGTTTCTGTTCTCTGTGATGCTGGGAAGTTCTTGTCTCATTTTTATGTCTCATTGTGCCTGCTTCTGTTGAAAGAGTGCGTTGGACATATATCTGCAAGCTTGACAGGAATGAATTAAGCCTGCAGACATTGAGCCTAGTATATGATTGCCTAAACCTGCATGCGTGAAAAGTCAACCTCTCTTAACTGGTAGAGGTGGATTCACCATAGATTGGGGTGCTGTAAATTTGGGGGAAACTGAATTTGAACCCAAGATTTAGCTGCACAACCGCTTGTCATACGGGGCAGGACAAGGGTGAGAAGTGATTTTATGCTGCAGGAATGATCTCTGCTCAGTTTTGCGATGCAGACCAGTGCTGATGGTCCGAGCAGCCTGCAGCTCAAATCGAGCTTATGTGATCAAACCAAGCACAAAACCACTTTGTGAGAGCCAGGTGTTGGGTCGTGGAGTGAGCCAACAAGTTGATATTGATTGCAGGATCCTGCACACCTCTCCTCAGGAAGCTACTTTCTCAACTTCAATTTATCCAGTGACTATAGTTCACAACAGTGGCTCTGGCAGACGTTTCCCCTTTGGTAGGAAACCAGTGTGCTGTACTGGTGGTGAAGGCAGATTTTTGTCATAATCGCACAGCCCTGATATTTGTTCTCTCCCCAGTAAACATTCTCTCATTTCCTGAGATGAATATTACACAATCAGGAATCACTGTGTCCTTTTATTCTCCTTCTCTCCTGCCTCCAGTAACTTTGGAGCTTGTTTACCATTTTTAATCCATCCTGAATACAAGCCTCAGAAATCCCTGAGTTCCTGCTTGTGTAAATCAAAGCTGAGCAGAGGACAGAAACCTAAATTAGTCTTCCCATCTAGGGAAGGATTTTCTCCAGCATATGTCATACTCCAGGCTGTCAGCTGCATGTGCTTTTCCAGCTGGATAGGATGAGGGAAAGGCTGGGATTATTGGAAATAGGAGCAGGGTCTTTAGGAGGCAGGAGTGACAAGTCTGCTGTTCACTTGACTGCTTTTTATTCTCTTATTCCACCAGCTTTGGCATCTGATGGGTTGAAAATTTGCAGGGGGTAACTGTGAAATAGAATTTACCTTGAGTAAAGCATTCAAGCCTTTTACAGGGCTATATGAAATAAAATAAGCTGCATGAAATAAATAAAGCTGGCTGAGACTCTTTTGAGAGAGAACTAAAGAGATAACTCTCTGCCAGCTAAAGCTAGGTCTCAGAGATACCCTTCACCATTCCTTCCTATGAAGGAAGAGGAATTAATGCATGCAGAGGAGGTGCAGGAAAAGTTTGCTAGGTTGAAAATTATACTTTGCTGTGGATATGATTGCAGGTCTGCAAGACGGTTCATGTATAAACATCCCTGAGTTAACTGAGACGTACCAACTGACTGGCCATGTGCTCCAGCTGAACCTAACCACAAAAGTGCATCCAGCTTTTGGGTGGATTGAAGCAAACCTGTTTAATTTTGCATTGCCATGGGACAGATGATACATGGAGCTGGTTATCTGTGATGAGATTCACCTGATTAGAAGTGGGTATCTATAGAGTCAGAGTCTACATTTGAGGTCTGCTCAATAGAGTCAATGGAGTCAAGGGTGGAAATTATCTTTTCTAAGGTAGATGTCTGTATTTGTTCAAATGAACACACCCTAACTCCATTTATTTATACTGATTATATTCTCTTCACTGGCTCTGAATGGAGCCAATGTTCAGACAGCTCAGATATGGGCATACACATTGTAGACATCTGAAGTTAAGTGAGATGAATCCCATCCCAGGTTTCACTTCACGCAATAAAATCCTAAGATACTCCAACATCCATTACATATCCTGCTAGGAGAGACGACCTAAAATGAGACGACCTGTTATTTACCCCTGAAGGGGGTAAATAACACAGATCTGTCTCAGGGACTGTAGAGGTGGTGGCCTTAGTGCAGATGAGAATCAAGTCCAGTCAATCCAAACCACTTCTTCTTGACAGAAAACGGCCAAGTGTATGTGCAGAAGAAGCCCACCATGTACCCACCCTGGAACAGCACTTTCGATGCCCATATCAACAACGGCAGGGTCATGCACATCGTCGTCAAAGACAAAAGTGCTGAAATGGTTTCAGAGACCACGGTAGAACTCAAGGTGCTGGCAGAGAGGTGCAAAAAGAGCAACGGGAAGACAGAGATATGGGTGAGCATCATTACCTCTTCTTGCAGGATGTGATGAGGAGCTGCTGTGGGGTAGGGGAATGCCTTGTGACCATGCCAGGCTGTGACTGTAACCAGCAGGGCAACAGGAACTGCCTGCCATCCAAAGAATAATGTTTTGAGTCTACTTGGGTATAACTTGAAGGAAAGACTTCCATGCATGTCAGACAAAAAAGAGCGTGGCAGGTTTATGTTACCTGCTGCTGTTATACTGAAACATCCGCCCTCTGTTAGCAAGGATTCTGGTTCATATGAGCCATGCCCACGTATTAATCTTCACTTAGGAAACCCATTAGGGACAAATGGTGATATGAGTGGCTAAATGTGAATTATTTTATGTGCTCTGGGGAAACAGCTTTAAAAATTTAATCTAATATCAAGTATCTGGTTCACAGTTGCCTGACTTAAGAGTTATGCCAGAGGAACTCCTTTAAAATCACTGGAGTTATAGCCAAGTAAATTTGAAGTAACAGTCTTCATAAGGCTGCTAAACGTAAGATTGCGTTCCCTGGTAGTCCAAGCAAGAAAGTCCTTGATAATAGTCTTTAACATGGAGTATTCTGTAGCCATGTCATGAATAACAATAAAGTGGAAAGACATTTGGAGAGAAACTTATTTCCTGAATATTTTTGTTGTTGTTGTTGTTTTATTTCTCATGCCAGTGCTCAGGTTAAGCTGCTTGGATTAAGCAGAAAGTAAAAAAGTCAAAAAGGCCTTGGTCACTTAAGAGACTTAAGAGCAAGATTTGGTAGAGATGTGCACATTTAACACATAACTTGGAAGAAATTGAGATGCTTAGGGACAGGATTGAAAAACTCAGCATCACACCAACTCCAGGCTTCAAAGCCATGGGAGGTACTAGCCTGGTAAGGAGGAAAAGGGGGCACGTAAGCTGGGGTGCTGCTTTCTTGCAGCAAGTGTAACAGACCCAAGATCAAGTGGAGTTGGGAGACCCAGGTCCTGTTGTGTCCCAGCTCACTAACAGCTCCTGAGATGTTCTCTCCACTCACTCCCAATACAAGTCACGACCTAGAGAGGGTGGTCCCAGATATCTCACCCTGCAAGGATCGTGAGGGGAGAGAATAAAATTTTTCTCACTTTTATGTGCATGGGAAGTGCTTCACTTGGAAGGTGAAGGTAACCTTGCTCAGGCTGTGCTGGAGGTGGGTGGGGAAGGCACAGTTGTGGTTCTCAGGCTGAAGAAATCCTTGAATGTAGGTCTCCATACTGCTAGGTAAGTGGATCCAGATTTACAAAGGCACCTCTGGACAGAGGTTCAGATAGGTGGGCATTTCCAGGTCCAGTGGGAAGGCCCAAAAAATGCCTGAGTAAGCTTGTAGTATCACTCACATTGACTATAATGGAAGTTAGACTTGCAGAACCAAGCTTCTAAAAGTTTTCAGCATCTATGAAATACCTGTCTAAGTTGGCTGTTGTTTTTTTCCAAGGTACTCCCACTTCCCCCTTGCAAGATCCACTGGGAATGACAAGTTGTCTCTATAGATAATGCTGGTCCTGAGATGGGGTCTAAAAACCTGCATACAGCTTCTGTAGTTTAGTCACATTTATCTCTTCTATCATGCCACTCCAGGAGTTTGATAAGAGGTGATCTACCCTCCCCTCTCTATGGTTGCTCCTACCCTGCCTTATTGCCCCACACGGATATGAGTAACCCAAAAATTAGCATTCATTGGCATTCATCATTTCCCACTGGGAAAAGGAGATAGCTTGAGTCATCTCAAATGATTGTTGCTTCTTTGAATGACTGTTTAATTATTGCATTGGTCTTTTTTTCTTGTTTTTCACTTTTCTCAACCAGCTAGAACTGAAACCTCAAGGCCGAATGCTGATGAATGCAAGATACTTCCTGGAAATAAGTGGCAAGTGATTTTGTTTGTTAATTGATAGATATGATTTCTGGTTATGTGAGGCAGACACAGTGTCTTCGCTGAAAGCAATGCCTATGTTGTAAACTGATTTATTCACAGGAACTTTCATAACAGTTTGAAATGAACCTTCCAGAAAAGCAATTTTTATTGTATGGTGGGGATGAAGATTGACTGTTCTTCTGTGATTTGCAAGGCAGATTTTTGGCAGGTTTACCACTAAAATGGTAGATTTTCTCATTACACTAAAGCAGACAGAATAGATACATAAGGAGACAGCTCCCTCTGAAATGATTCTACTTGTATATATGCACGTAACATGTGCCGTGGTGTGCATTATAGTGCAGATATAAAAGTTGGGATACAATTTTCTGGTTGACAACACCGAAGTACACATGTTAGTTGGGATTTTAAGATCGAGAGCAATCTAGGCAAAACAGGAAAAGAACCTGAAGAGTGATTCATCTGATGAAATGCAGGTTTCTGCTGCAAGGTGAGCCAAGTCATTCACTGGGCTCCATTGCTCCATCCAGCTAGACCTCCAGGGATGTGGCAGCAGCTTAGTCACCCTGGACAGGGGACATATCATCATTCATGTACCTTCACCGGGAACCAAATCCCACCTGCAGAGTTTCATGTCCGTGTGAAATGCTTTTTGCTTTGTTGAAGAAAATAGGTTGCAACCCAAATGCTCAGTCTTACTCCTTGATGCCAAGGCTCTCGCTGCCTTTCACAGATGTGGGACGAAGCTGTAAGGTGTAGATATCTAGAAGGACCTTCCACTTACAGAAACATAGAAGTACTAAAAGCAGCCAACAGCGTGTCCATACTGATAGTTTCTTCATCCATTCCTACCTTTAATACAGAATAGACTACTATTCCCTCCTTGTATGTTACAAGACATCAGAGAGGCCAAAGCATAGAAGATGCAGGCTGTGTTTGTATTACAAATAGCAAGATCAGCATCAGCTCACACAGGGGGCCAGTTTCCACAGAATACCTGTGTAACTTGCTGTGTGATGTATGAGTAAAACGAAACAGAGATTGAGTGAGATACTGTGTGCATATCTAGATTTGTAGACACAAGCACATATATTGAAGTGCACATGTGTATACGCATGTGTAGACAGAATTGGTTTGTTTGCTGTTCTAAGAAGTTTAAATGTGAACTGTGAATATTGGCATGGACACAGAAAAGAGCAAAGCAATTGCTGGCATGGGAAAATAACATGAAAAAAAAAATCCTAGGAACATACATACATGCTTACTCACACACATGTACATGCACACAAAAAGGCTTCAGTTAAATATCCACACACATATACACACACGTCTGTTTGTGTGCATATATAGATAGTTATTATTTTTATGTAATTCCATCTTTTTTAGGGCATGGTTCTTCAGTGCTATAGAAAGTTAGAATTTTGTGTTTAACAGCAAATGATGTCTCCTTGGGAAATTTCTGGTCTATATTTCAAAAGCAGCATTATGAATATTCAAGGGAGCTCAGAGTCCCAGTTTTAAAGTCGTTTTAGTGTCCCTGCAGGAATAGGAGAAAAAAAAACATCCAAAGAAGCCTTATGTGGGTTTCAGAAAACATTATTTCTTAAAAATATTTATTCAAATGAGTCAATCATAAGCTTCAGTCATTTAGTGTTTTGGCAGCTAGATTTTCTCAAGGCGCCTGATCAGGACAGGGTACCCTAATAAATCTTCTGTTTCCTTTCTCCCCAGATGCAAAGGACCTGGCTGACTGTGAGACCGAAGGCTTCTTCTCCTTGCATCAGCGCAGGGGAGCCATCAAACAGGCCAAAATCCATAATGTCAAGTGTCACGAGTTCACAGCCACCTTCTTTCCACAACCCACCTTCTGCTCTGTCTGTCATGAGTTTGTATGGTAAACAAAAATAGATCTATGCTTTTTCCCTTTTTAACTCTACAGACCAGTTCTGCTTCTCCAGTGAATATCTGTGCTCCTGCTGTCAGTACAGGCAGCAGGATTGGACCCTTGACATCTTACCTGGAGAGTTATTGCATCACTTCAAGGATGTGATTCACAGTTGTAATTCCAACTGTGAAAATTCCCTTAATTTTTTAGTTCATTTTTTATAAATATTTTTATCTTGGACCAAATGCACAGACATTTCTCATCAGCCTGGCTTGCTATTTGGATATCGTGAAATTCAGAATATGAATATGTGTTAAAAAGGCTGTGAAAACCATAGAGAATCACTCCAGAGCTAGACTGAATGAAGATATTTAAATTAGAGAAGCTCTATAAAGACTGATAAAAAGCAAAGCTCTCTTATTCTGTTTCTTTCATAAATATTGCTCTCCTTCCTTCTGTGGAGGCTTTCAGAAAATTCAGAATTAACCATTTCTCTGTCTATTTCAGGGGTCTGAATAAACAAGGCTATCAATGCAGACGTAAGAAACTTTTTATTTGGTTACTCTCATTTTTACTTGATCTTTTCTTAAGGGATTTTCTCATTAACACCGTGACACTTGTTGTTTCAGAATGTAACGCTGCCATTCATAAGAAGTGCATTGACAAAGTAATAGCCAAGTGTACGGGATCAGCAATCAACAGTAGAGAAACAATGGTATGTGTTATTATTTGGCTGCTTTTTAAGAACTTGGGCACCGTTCATCTCTCTCCTACATTGCTGTAAAACCACTTCCGATGAAACAGAAGGTGCTACTGAACTAAAGGCTGTGTGATCTGACCTGTGCCCTTTGTTTTTTACGTTCCCAGTGGGAACTGGGAACTGTACTCAAATGGAGCCGCTGAATAAGCAGTTGCTGAATCAGGACTGATGTTTTTCTAATGTATGAAGTACAGCTCAGAAGGAAGTCATGGCCATGAGGTGGAGATCTACTGGAGGAAATTCCTCACTACATGATGCTAGGCAGGACATCACACTGAATTTTCAGAGCAGTACTTTAACATCCCACTCTGTGTTCACTGAGATTTCCAAACAGTCAGTGGAAGACCTAGCATCTTCACTATTAATTTTATTTTTCTCATATCAGTTTATAATAAACCTTCTTTTCTGGTGTGCAAAAATGGAACTTAAACTCTTGATACGTCTATTCCCTTTTTCTTAATTGTGTCCTACAGCTTCTGTTGGCTTCCAGTCCTACACTGGCTCCTGTTCTCCCTTTACAGTCTTTAGAAATGAGATTCATCTCACCTGTCTTCTGACATCTCCAGGGTAGATGTAGCCAACTTTGTCATCACCTTTGACTCCTTATAAACTCAAAGAAGAAAAATAGGCTCTTCCG